AGAGTTGGGCATGAGTCCTTGGGGTGCCCCTGTTGTGTACAAATGCCGCAGACCTTGACTTCTTGGGTCTTGGATTTTAAGAGGAAATCCTTAACCAAAGAAGTCAAGCCGGCAACTTGACTCTCCAGTGATGATGTCGATTCTGCAGCGGCAACTCTACGAGTTGAGGATCTGCGACCGAACTGCCGTGAGTTCTAGGCCAATTCCGAGATAAGATTTATAGCTTGTGAAGGAGTTTTATTAACAATGCCGCCTCCACAAGCGGCGTTCACCATTCTTCTATCATCATCAACAAGACCATCATAAAAGTATAAGATGAGGTCTTGTTCTGAGTAGCCATGATAGGGACAGCTAGCACATAGCTTCTTAAATCTTTCCCAAAATTCATATAAGGATTCATCATCCTTTTGCTCGATGTTGCTTATTTGCTTTTTGAGAGAAGATGAGATGGAAGCAGGATAATACCTATCGAGGAAGCACTTCTTCATTTGTGCCCATGTGTTGATGCTTCCCGAAGGAAGAGAGAAAAGCCAATCCTTCGCGGTATCTTTCAAGGAGAATGGGAAGACTCTCAGTTTTATTTGCTCTTCTGTGGCACCGTTTGGGCACATGCTTGTGCAAACGATGTGGAACTCCGAAAGATGTTTATTCGGGTCTTCTCCTCTCATGCCATGGAAAGATGGCAATAAATGTATGAGCCCAGATTTCAGCTCAAATGTATTACCTTCATCAAGAGTAGGAAAGGTAATACATAATGGTTGTTGATTCAAGTTTGGAGCTGTGAGCTCCCTCAAGGTCCTTGTCTCGAGAGCCATGTGGAATGACTCTTCGGATTCGCTAGAGCTAGAGCTAGCGTTTGAGGATTCCTCCGAGGGTGTGTGCGGAAACAAATTTCTCAACCTCTCGAAGGCTTGTTCTATTTCGGGGTTTGTTTGGTAAGTAAGCTCGTTTATAGAACGGGTTTTTACCATATACTCATGTAAGCTCAGAAATAGAAAAAGTAAGAACTCTTTATATATTTTTTTTTTTATATTTTAAAATAAAAAGAAAAATTATTGCCTTTCCCCGGCAACGGCGCCAAATTTGACGTGCACTTTGTCGTGGTGTGCACTCAAAATAATATTCAATATAACAATTATACGTAGTATAATGAAGTAAAGTTCGTATCCACAGGGAAAGGAATATTTCTCTTTTTAATTAACTAGTAACAAAAGGGGGGTTCAGGTTTGAGTGATTTAATTAAAATTAAACACGAAGATGAACGAGTTATGTGGTTTACTTTAATAGAGATGGAGGCTTGGTTTTGCTTTTATCCACTTAATGAAATGTTCGTCGATCCCGGTTATGTCTTTAACTATCTTCCTCTCGAATACTCAATCGAGGAGTATATCCAGTTCATCGAGGGTAGTTATTAATAACGAGATGCGTTCATTAATAAAACTTACTATCGAGGCAATATAGAACAAGCGCCGTATATTAACTTGATAGTAGCAATAAACTTAAGATGAAAACGATTGAGATTGATAACCTCAACACAAGCGGTTTATTGGTTTAATCAATATAATTAATTCCCCTTGGCTTATTAATCATGAGAAGCATGCATTAACAACCCAAGTTTACTACCATTGAAAGAACCGAATTAATAACAAGCGTATTAACCGATTGATTCTAGTAATAATTAATATATGAAACAAAACTAGTTGATCCTTTAAGTAATGTTCAAAATATTAATATGAAATATGAATAGGAATTAATTAATACTCAAGGAAGAATATTAAAGAAGATGAATCCTACTATAGTTAATATCAAGATGTTAACTAATTGTCATCTTAGTAACACTCCCCAATATTAACATAGAGGAAGAAATAGCTATTACTATAACTAATGTCAAGATGTTAACTAAGTGTCATCTTAGTAACACTCCCCAACATTGATATAGAAATAGTATTTAAAGGAAGAATTAATATTCAAGGAAGAAGATTAAAGAGAATAACTCACAACTTACAAATTCATTAAGCTTCAAAGTAGCAAAACCAAGATGGAAGGGTTCAGCTCCTCATTTGGAGACTAAACATGCTATAAAAATATAAAAGAAATACTATTCTAAACTGAGCTTAAGAGTATGGAAGAAGGGATGATTATTTGTGAAGGAAAATGGGGCTATTTATAGGTGTTTTTCAACACCTTTGGCCGGGTACCCGACCGGGTAAAGTGCCCACCCGACCGGGTGCATGTCAAAATCAAATATCCTACACGTTCTGGCGATCTTCGGCACGTTCTGGTGTTCCGGGTCAAGTCGGACCCGACCGGGTGATGTAATTTCCTGAGCAGTTTCGCATTTAAATTTCTCACCCTACCGGGTGAAATGTCTGACCCGGCCGGGTCTGTGCACCTGGATATTTTTCTTCTTCTTTTCACTTCTTTTCCTTGCCAATAACTTTACTACTACTTTACAACTTATTAAAAATGATTAAAATCAATTACAAACAAATGAAGATGATTGCTTAAAAACTAACTAAAAACGGTAAACAATCCACACAGAATAAATATAAAAACATACATTTATGCACTACAAACTAGTGCATATCAATAATATTTTCATACGTTCATCAATCTAACCATTAACACTCTTTAGTATAGTATGCACCTTACATATCAAAATGGTGCATCATCATATGCTATGTAATGCATTGTTCACTATCCCTTCTCAAAATGTTAAAGTTTTTTTGGAACAAAAATGTTAAAGTTGTTAAACTAACATTTATATCCCAACTCATTTAACACTTGATTGCATCTAAAACATAGATAATTACACGCCATTGGAATAGTCATAAACCTACTATAAAATACTTCTAAATTTCTATTACAATTTAAAGTCAAATTTAAGATTATATTTATCTATTTCACAATCTTAATTATTACACATTAGATACATTTGATTTAAAATGCACAATATCAAATTTATTTTCGGATGTATGTGCATATATCTAGCCATCCTCATGCATTATATTCATTATAAAGTTGCATTTGATTGACATTGTAAGTGCATCTTCAAATACAACATCATCCGAATACTGAACTTACATCAACGAATCTCAAGAATACACACTCATTGGCCTTTACTATTATACTTTAATATAAATCATTTGTTTCAAAAATTTCAATATCACTCTCTTATGCACTATATGCTAAAAATTCAGCACATATTAGTTGCTACAAATTTCAATCTTATGCACCTCAATTCACTATCTTTTATGCAACTTACTTTAAATATATTTGCATTCCGCCCTCACTAGTTTGCATATTACCAATCTTCACAAATTTATGATATCATACCACCACACAAATTCACTCCAATTATAATTTACACTCAAGCATTATTAACCTTCTAAAAAACACAATAATTTACTAATTCCTTAACCAAATTCTCACACGACTCATTAATCTTTAAGAAACCCCAATCTTATTGAATCTCTTTTCACCAACTAGTGCACCGAATAAGTACCCACTCTGCATATTAGTTCACATTACAAAGATGTGCTCATTTCATTTATCAAGGTAAACAAAATTCATTCAAAATTACAGAGACAGTTGCATTCTTTATTACAAACTATTGCACTGATCGAACTCTCCTAATAGTGCATATGAGTTAACATCACTTTGAAATATGTCCTAATTTGCTAATTTTATAAAAAAAAACGCAGATCACTACTTCTCTTCTTCCAAAATTCAATAAAAAGGGTGTATGTGTTCCGATCGACCTATTATAGCCTCTCAATTCGTTGATGTTTAAAAAGGCCAACCTTCTTCAACTGCCGCTAATATTTCCGTGCACAGGGTTTGAGAAAAGCAACTCAGATGCATTAGAAGAAACTACGAACCTTTCCTTTTTTAATTTGCAGATTTTTTGGGACTTCCTAATGTACTATGCCGACTCATATTAATTTACCTTCCTATCCTTACTTACTAAATGTGCATATTAGTTGTCCGTCAATTTTTTATTCCCTGCAATGCACCAGATAGAATGCTACGGTGGGCTTTATTTGGATAGCCTTTGATTTGCCCGATATGGACGTACATGATGGATTCGCATTTTGTACTGGAAGCCTTGTTTGTATGTGATCTCGTCCCTATATATAATGGGGATCAAATAAAAAGGCTCCTTCACATGAAAAATAGGAACCCATCGCACCCGTTGGCTGAAAGAAGAGTACATTTGATAGGTGCTTTTTTGCTAGGTGACAACCCCGGTACCTTTTTAAAAAACGGGGTATCGTACCTACCATTCATTTGATTGGACCACATCACTTTATCATTTTTTATTTAGATTTAAATAATTCAACTGCTACATTCTCATTGGTCCATGTGGACAAAGGTATGATACCTTATGGGTACCATAGAATCTACCTTTTTGCTAACCAATTTATGAAGTATTTTTGGAATTTTATCCTTTTCATTTAATTCCAATCAGCCATTAGACACGATTTTGTATTGCACCATTAAGGTAAGTTTTATTTGGTTTTTCATTTTTATCTTATTTCACGCTACTTTGTCTTCTTCTCGAGTGTGGGCTTCCATTTATACATGTACACAGTTTGTTATACATCATCGTCCCACCATCAAAGACTTATATTACATTCCGCATATGCACATTTAAGCCTCACCTTATGCTATTCTATTACCTACATATGCACTTAAACTCTTGAATCTGCACTTATATATGCTACATGATACAATTTCTAGATTAATCGTAGCAGTAAATGGAAGATGATAAACTATGCTATGAATGAACTTATATTACACACATATGCACTAGCTCACTGGTGCTAATTGGCATTTGTTATGGGCTTATTTGTATAAATTATTACGTGTATATTTTAGATTAGCCTTATTTGGGTTTAGTGGGCCAGGACTTGTTAATTCTCTTGTTATTTCTCTTGTACGTGTATATATACATGGCCATACGCATGGAAATAGACACGACATAATTTTCTTCCTAGCAAAACCCTCGTCCACTTCACAACATGGTATCAGAGCACCGTGTTTGACGAACTGTACATCGACGGAAGCTCAAAGCTGCGACGGAGCGACGCCAGCGTGATCGATTTCGCCGGAAGCTATGACTGATCCAACATCACCATATTATCTCGGGTCTGGTGATCAGCCCGGGAATGTTATAACGCATGTAATTTTTAAGGGAGACAATTATGTGGCATGGTCTCGGGCCATTACTCTTTCTTTGAAGGCACGCCGCAAATTTGTTTTTGTGGATGGGACCGAGAAGAAACCGACGGATGCAGCAGGACTACTCAATTGGGACACCGTCAATTCCATGGTGGTGTCTTGGTTGTTGCGAAGCATGGAACCCAATGTCGCGGCGTCAATTCCCTTCCACGATGAGGCGCGTGCCCTATGGGTCTATTTGGAGAAACGCTTTAGCGTTGCGAACGGCCCGAGGTTGCAGCAGCTACGCTCGTCCATAACGGCTTGCAAACAGTCTAAAAATATGACTGTGGACACATATTACACTGCGCTCATGAGCCTCTATGATGAATTGAACAGATTGAAGCCGTTACATTCCTGCACGTGTGGTCGCTGCACGTGTAACGTGGCTGAAAAGTTCGCTGCTGATCGGGAGGAGGAGCGTCTTCACCAATTCTTGGTTGGTATTGATGATGAAATCTTTGGAACGGTGCGTACGAACCTATTGTCTCATACACCTTTACCCGATCTTGAACGTGCGCATCAAGCCTTTCTTCAAGAAGAGAACTCGCGGGCTGTGGCTCGCGGTAAGCAGACGCAGGCAGTAGACGTCCAGGCTTTTGCCGTCACGAAGGGACGCCAGGATCGAGTCGATAAGACCAAGCTCGTGTGTACTCATTGCAAACAAAAGGGTCACGAGATTGGGGCGTGTTTTAAACTCCATGGCTACCCGGAGTGGTGGGACGAGAGAAATCGGAACAAAGGAACTGCTGCCGGTCGTGGAGGAGGGGCACGTGCACACGTCGTGACTTCAGCGCCGTGCAGCAGCAACGGTATCAGCGTGGCCAGTGGAAGCGGGTCGTCCTCCCAGGGAGAGGCCAGTGCGCTGCACGAGCTAAGCAGGGAGCAGGTTCAGGCACTCTTGAATTTGATTAATGTTGACTCTAGCTCAAGTGATCGCATGTTGGGTACGTGTACTTCCCTACCTTGGATTATTGATACCGGGGCGTCACATCACGTCACGGGAAATTTATCTTGCCTTACACAGCGGGTTCGTATTAAAGCATGTCCGGTAGGTTTGCCGGACGGGAGAACGGTGACTGCCGAAGTGGAGGGGCGTGTGCTTCTCGATAATAATTTATCTCTTGACCGAGTGCTTTATGTGCCGGGCTTGAATTGCCATCTTATCTCTGTATCTCAGCTGATTGATAAGAATCATTGTGTTGTTATTTTCACTAATTTATTTTGTGCTATTCAGGACCTACACTCGAGGAACCTGATTGGAGCAGGTGAACGGAGAGATGGGCTATATTATTTTCGGGGGATTCCTGCGCTTCATGCTGTTCACACTTCAGAGATTTCCGATTTCGAGTTGTGGCACCGGCGTCTGGGTCATCCGTCAGATAGGGTCATTAAATTATTGCCTTGTTTTATTAATAGTACTTCTGCGAAAAAGTTAAATAAAGCCTGCGAGGTGTGTCCGCAGGCGAAACAAGTTCGTGACTCTTTTCCTGTTAGTTGTTTTCGTGCTAGTCGTATTTTGGAACTCATACATTGTGATTTGTGGGGCCCTTATAAAACCCCTTCTACCTGTGATGCTGTTTATTTCCTTACTCTGGTTGATGATTTTTCACGGGCTGTTTGGGTGTATTTATTACGTGACAAAAAGGAGGTGTTTCGTTTTTTTCCCTCTTTTATCACTATGGTGGAGAAGCAATTTGGGGTATCTATACACACCGTTCGTAGTGATAATGGGACCGAATTTAAATGTATGCTTCCTTATTTTGAATCCCATGGCATTATTTTCCAGACCTCTTGTGTCGAGACACCTCAACAAAATGGCCGTGTTGAGAGGAAACATCGTCACATTTTAAATGTAGCTAGGGCCTTGATGTTTCAGGCAAACATCCCTATCTTCTTATGGGGGGAGTGTGTGCTCACGGCAGTACATGTCATTAATCGCACCCCCTCCGGTTTGCTAGGGGGTAAAACCCCTTATGAAGTTCTCACCGGACAGGTCCCAGATTTTTCTCATTTACGGGTTTTTGGGTGTTTGAGCTTTGCTTATAACTTGAAATCCAGAGGTGATAAGTTCGCGCCGCGGAGTCGGCGTTGTGTATTTGTCGGATATCCTTCAGGCAAAAAGGGTTGGAAATTATATGATTTGGCTACAGGTGATATTTTTGTTTCTCGGGATGTAAAATTTCTTGAGGATGTTTTTCCCTTTTCCGAGCCACCAGCCGTAGTCTCCTCTCCTGACCTCGAGAACCAAGCTGGCGGGGTGGTTATTCATGATGATCCCATAGGACCTGTTCGACATTCAGCTGCCTCGGCCGTACCTCCTACGAGTGCCACATCCACAATGCCCCATGCAGAACTGTCTCTTGGCCGCGGCATGTGTGAGAAACGCACATCTGTTTTGTTGCGGGATTTCGTCACTAATCACGTGCAGACATATAGCCCCTCTTCGGCACCTTCTCCTTTCGGTCCCTCAGGTACGCCATACCCTTTAGCACACTATATAAATTGTGAAAAAATTTCTCCGCGTCACCGCATGTTTCTTGGAGCTATTATTGCAGGACAAGAACCACGATCTTTCCGCGAGGCCATGACCGACCCCGGCTGGCGTGACGCAATGGCACTTGAAATCCGAGCTCTTGAGAAAAACTGTACGTGGGATATGGTCCCGCTTCCTCCGGGAAAGAAGGCACTCGGTAGCAAATGGGTTTATAAAATAAAATATAACTCCGATGGCACGGTGGAACGGCTCAAGGCTCGGCTGGTCGTCCTTGGGAACCACCAACGGGCAGGTATTGACTACACTGAGACTTTTGCTCCTGTTGCTAAGATGGTAACTGTACGTCTATTCTTGGCTCTAGCTGCGGCTAAGAATTGGGAGTTACACCAGATGGATGTGCATAATGCCTTTCTTCACGGTGATTTGGGTGAAGAAGTTTATATGAAGCCTCCACCCGGTTTTTCTTCTTCACGGCCGAACACAGTTTGTAGATTGAGGAAGTCTCTTTACGGCTTGCGACAAGCCCCACGGTGTTGGTTCGCTAAATTGGCTACTTCTTTGCGGGAGTACGGTTTTTCTCAATCCAAATCGGATTACTCTTTATTCACTTACTGTGCAGGCGCCATTCGGCTACACGTTCTTATCTATGTGGATGATCTTATTGTTGCTGGAAATGATTCCTCTGCTTTGTCTCGGTTCAAACAATATTTGGCTAACTGTTTTCATATGAAGGACCTGGGACCCCTTAAGTACTTTCTGGGCGTCGAGGTGGCCCGAAGTGCTGAGGGATTATATCTTTGCCAACGGAAATATGCTTTGGACATTATCTCCGAAGCTGGTCTTCTAGGTGCTAAACCTTCTTCCAGTCCGATGGAACAAAATCATTCTTTGGCACTTGCTACTGGGGATTTGCTTTCGGATGCTGAACCTTACCGACGCCTTGTCGGACGGCTTATCTATCTATCTTTTACCCGTCCGGATTTAGCCTATGCTGTTCACATCTTATCTCAGTTTATGCAGGCACCACGTCAGGAACATTGGCATGCCGCTCTACGGGTCGTCCGTTATCTTAAGGGTGCCCCCGGTCAAGGGATTCTTCTTTCTTCATCCTCGGACTTCCACCTCTCGGCCTGGTGTGACTCGGACTGGGCAAGTTGTCCACTTACCCGCCGTTCTCTCTCTGGTTGGTTAATTTTTCTGGGTGGTTCTCCTATTTCTTGGAAGACTAAGAAACAACATACTGTATCCCGTTCCTCTACAGAAGCCGAATACCGGGCTATGGCCGCGGTTACTGCAGAGCTCAAGTGGCTCAAAGGTCTTCTGCTATCACTCGGCATGTCTCATCCTCAGCCCATGTCTCTATTTTGTGACAGCCGTTCGGCTCTACACATTGCCCAGAATCCTGTCTTCCACGAACGCACGAAGCATATTGAGGTCGATTGTCACTATGTACGGGATGCTATTCAGGAGAAACTTCTTACCACTCGTCATGTTTCTACGGGTGATCAATTGGCCGACATCTTCACTAAAGCTCTTGGACAACGACAATTTCTGATTCTTCTCAGCAAGTTGGGCATTTTGAATCCCCATGCTCCAACTTGAGGGGGGGTGTTATGGGCTTATTTGTATAAATTATTACGTGTATATTTTAGATTAGCCTTATTTGGGTTTAGTGGGCCAGGATTTGTTAATTCTCTTGTTATTTCTCTTGTACGTGTATATATACATGGCCATACACATGGAAATAGACACGGCATTATTTTCTGCCTAGCAAAACCCTCGTCCACTTCACAACAGCATTCTTCTACACATATTCAAGGCATTCTTACACACATATTCGTTAACGCCGTTGTGCGCCTTTTGGCCATGCGCTTGCCTGGTTTTCTTGAGTGCTCTAGAAGCGTTGTCAATGCTCCATAAAGACGGCCCCACCTCACACTCACTGGTTCTAATTGGCATTCTTCTACCCTTTGTTCGTCTCAAGAAGAACAACGTCCGGCAAAACTGCTCCGACAAAGATCAGCGACAGGCCACCCGTCTCTTTCTTCAACCGGCTTAGAAAAGAGTCCGGCAAAACTGCTCCGGCAAAAACCAGCGGCAGACCAGCGACTTAAAAATGGAAAGGAATTGACTGCCGCTGTTCTTCAATTTTTGCCGGCATAGAATTTTGTTCCCATTGATTTTGCTAGTCGATTCCTTTTCAAACTTCTTGCTTTCGATTTCGTTTCCGTCAAATTTCTTGCAATATAGTGTTTCTTCTTCCTTTTGGTTTTATTTAATTTCATTTTCAAATTGTTAATCTTTTAATTTATTGCATTTGTTTAATTTCTTCTTTGTGTTTGTTAGTTCTCTGTTATGACTGGGTTCTCTTCGCAGGTTTTGTTATTTGTTTTTTTACTTTTCAATTTCGTAATATAGTTAATTGTGGGTATTAGTGTATTACTTTTCCATTGTTTATCATCAATTTTATGAAGATCGATAGTTGACACAATATAAGACATACTGTGTGATGTCATGAGTTTTTTTTTGAAGTGTTCGATGTCATAAGTTATAAGTAATGTTAACATTATCAAAATTAACATTAAAATGGTGTGGATGTCATAAATAACACATCAGTCAAAGTATTTAGTAATATAATAACGTCATTATTTGAAAGCAAATGTCAATGTTATAAAAATGACAATGTTAATGATTATCGTAATTATTGCAATACTATAAAAATGACATTGTAAAGATGACAATGTCAATAATTACTGTAATAATGTCAATTTTATAAAAATGACATTGTAAAGATGACAATGTCAATACATATCGTAATTATGTCAATGTTACAAAAATGACATTCTTAAAAAGTGTGGCAATGTCTGACAATGACATTAAAATGTAGAAAAGTCAATGACAATTTCATAACAATGTCAATCATTATAAAAATGAATTGTTAAAAATAATGCTAAATCTATACGGAGTAAAATATTAGTTTTATAGAAAAATAATGTATTATAATGTCGTTATATCACAATATTATTGTATGACAGTGTCATTGTCAAAACATGTGGCACTGTCGTGACAATGACAGTATAAGGCAGTATAGTATACTACGCATCTAAAAGCACACCACACACATGCATAATAGTTATTGTATCTCAAATACCCCCACATTTTGAATATATATATATATATATAATAGGTGCAAAAATAATTACTAAATAAACAACCATAAGGTCATAAAATTATCAACATTTTTCGAGAGGAACAACATATAGTTAACATGATAAAGACTTAACATGCGATGAATATCAGGATAATTATGCACACTTAGAATAAGCACACTTTACTATTCATCAAAACTGCCATACGGCTAAACCATGCAAAATACGTGATTAATTTCAGATATTCTAATCAATAGAACCAGAGAGATATAATAAGTGGGCTAACCAAGTTAAAATTTAGTGTAGTCACAATTGAGTTTGATAGCCTCAAAATCTATCACTTATGCATTCACCCATCACTAGTCAATTTGAAAAAATAATCGCACCAATTTTATCATCACTGTCAATAAAGTTTATATTTTATTTTGGTGGATTGCTTTTCTCAAAACTTTCATTATCTAAAAAATTACTTTTTGAACAAAAGCTATAAGAAACATACCATAATTTTGATCATTCAATGGGAGCTATAATTTTTACCGCTCGTCTTAAGAAGAGTTTCGAGCAAGTTGACTATTCCGTAGGTAAAATCTTTATTCGCCCTAATTCCTTAGATTGTTGGCTCTATCCTTCCAAAATCAACGTGTTGACCGTGTTGTTTCTAAGTTGACCTCGTTGACCATCTAGCTTCGAGAATTGACTTGCATAATAATCACTAAAAAGAACTAAAAAAATTATATTAGAAGCTCGAGACGCGTGACGCTGTGCTAAGGAATTATTTCCGGCGTACGGAAATTCCCCCTAGGATATAACGAGCCCTTCGGTTATAAAACTGATACTAGAACTAACGAGAAGAAAATTAGTACATGAACCCAGCAATAAAATTATAAAAGTATAAGTATTTTATAACCAGTTTGTAGATGTGAAATGATTTCCAAAGGAGCACATATTATGTTGTTCATCTCCTTTCAAATCTCACGGCAGAAAGCATAAAAAAAATATAACCAATACATATGTTTTATGTTGTCGAGCCCATTCATTGTATTTTCACCCTAAAGAGCATGCTTGCACCATACTATATATATATATATACACCGTACGTATCATGAGGACATCCAAAAGCGACATCCAAAAGCCAACAAACCAATTTAACATAATTTAATAGTAATTAATAGTATTAATATCTCTCACTAAAGCACTAGTAGTGTAACGTTTAGGAAACAAAACTAATAATAGTAACTTCAATGTTTTGTATTAAAGAAGAAATGTGCACCGGTTTCATTACGTTTTGTAAAATACAATTAATGAATTAAATTCATTTACATAATGAATTAAATGTAAAAACCTTATTCGTTTGAAATATCACAAAATTTCCAACAGTCCATTGGTGTGGTATCGACACATGTTTCTTATTCTGGCTGAGGTAAAACCAAAGAATCTCAAACCATGTCTGCCATCGTTTCATGATTTTGGTTTATCCCCTGCATCTTCGTCGTCTTACTGTGATTTTTTCGAACTGTAAGGTAATCGAGTTTCTTTATCAGTTTGTCCATGCATACACTCATTATTGTGATTATTTACATGTATAGTTGCATATGATTTGGCCATAAATTGCATGTTTAACAGATTTATATTGTATCTCTATCTTATAGCAACAAAACCCCTCTGTAATAGATTCATTTATATGGCTAAACGGCGTTCAATTGGCGCCTTGAAGATTTCAGATTTTTGGAGATTTGGGGATTTGGCCTTTGCCACGATCAATTACTAGTAAGAAAACAATACTTAGTAAAAAAAAAAGAGATGTCATACCTAATGCGGATTGAATGTATTGTTATAAATTTTATTATAAAATAATTAATAAAAAAATAGTTAAAGCTCAATTAAATGGTTCAAATTGGGAAGGTATAAGGATAGCATCCGAAATTACCAATCAGCGTATGTAGCCCATTGGTTGGAAACAGCTTGTTGCTTTAGAGCAACTCCAACAAGCACAAATCCTACACCAAAATGGTGGATTTGGCAAAAAGTTGCTCCAATAGTCACACCATTCCCTACATCATTACACCATTTTGGGGGAGAGGCTTTTGCTTTACACCAAATATGGCGTACACGGTACACCATATCTCACACCATCCTTTTTTTTTTTTAATTTTTTTTATTTCAAATGTGACCCAAAGTTTTGATTGTTATAGTTTTGACCCATTTGTAAAATAACAAATTAGTATGTTTTTACTTGGACTGAAATTTGTTGGTCTACTCTTGTTTGATCTGATTTGGTCTGGTCTGGTTTGAACTGATGTGGTCTGGTCTAATTTCTTTGTATTTTTATAACTACCCAAGTCTAGTCTAATCCGGTCTGATCTGATCTGAGACAAATTACAGTCCAAGTAAAAACATCCTTAAAATTATTAAATGAGGGGCTAATGTATAAATATATGATAATTAGATACTTAAATAGAATAATGGTAAAAAGTTAGTAAAAAGAATAAAAAGAGAATATTCCTTTTTGGTGATGAAAATGGTGTAAACTGTTGGAGATAATATACTGTTTGATGTAATGTTTACACCATTTTAGTGTAAAAATAGTGTAAACTGTTGGAGATGGCCTTAGTTTACGTTGGTTCGAATCCCATCGCCAAATTCATTTCCTCGTTTTTGGCCACTTCCCGAGTTTGAAGCGGGTCGTGTCCGTTGCGGTTCACCGGTTAAATCCGGTTTCATCACATTTGTGGTTCGTACTTATTATTAATAATATTCTTCTAGAAAATTATTTAGGGTTTTTTACAATAATATTAATAAAATAAATATATTTACATAAATATGACTATTCATTACTACAATGTAGTGTTGTGGTAACTTAAGCTCAAAACTTGAACATGAATTACTATGATTTCATTACTACTCTAGTCACTAATCATATTTTTGTAAATCATCTTTATTTTGATCATATTTATGTAATTATTTCAATTATTTAAACTATAAATAAAAATTAGAACCCAAAAATCGAACTGAAACCAACCGATTTGGAACTCTACTTCTAATTAAAGGAGTGTTTGGGGTTGATTAAAAAAAGCGCTTTTTAGCTTTTGGCTTAAAAAAAGTTGAAAAGAGTGTTTTCAAATGATAGCTTCTGCTTAAATTAATCACTTAAAAGCTAAAAGCTGGAAGCAGGTAGAAGGGTGCTTTAAACTGCTTCTCACCTTTTCTATTACACAAAAAGTACTTATTTTACCAAACACTACCAACTTTTACTTTTTCAGAATCACTTTTTTCTCAAACACTACTACCAACTTTTACTATTAATCATTTTTCCCAAAATCACTTTAAAAAATCACTTTCTTAAAGTTGAAGCAATCGCAAACACTCCCTAAATCCGGTTTCCATCACATTTCTAGCTTTTCTTTTTTCGATTTTTTTAGGGTTGGTTTGCAAACGCTTTAAAAAAAGCACTTCTCAGCTTTTGGTTTTAAAAAAACACTTCTTTTCCCAAACACTACAACTTTTATTTTTCTCGGCTTTCGTGTCAAAAGTGCTTTTACTTTTTCTATTACACAAAAAGTACTTAAGGAGTGTTTGGGATTGATTAAAAAAAGTGCTTTTCAGCTTTTGGCTTAAAAAAGTTGAAAAGAGTGTTTTCAAATGATAGCTTCTGCTTAAATTAATCACTTAAAAGCTAAAAGCTGGAAGCAGGTAGAAGGGTGCTTTAAACTGCTTCTCACTTTTCCTATTACACAAAAAGTACTTATTTTACCAAACACTATCAACTTTTACTTTTTCAGAATCACTTTTTTCTCAAACACTACCAACTTTTACTATTAATCACTTTTTCCAAAATCACTTTAAAAAATCACTCTTTTAAAGTTGAAGCAATCGCAAACACTCCCTTATTTTACCAAACACTACCAACTTTTACTTTTCAAAATCACCTTTTTCTCAAACGCTATCAACTTTTATTTTATCACTTCTCCCCATTTCATTAAAAAAAGCACTTTTTTAAAGCAGAAGCTGTTGCAAACAGACCCTTAGTCTACATTCGGAATTTATTACTTATTATTAATACTTTTCGTTTTTCGATTTTTTTAGTCTACATTCGGAATTTATTTTTTTTGCTCGAAGAAGACTTAATTCATAAAAATAGCATTCAACAAGGGTACAGAACTAGAAAAACACCACAAATAACCATCCGCCCGTGGCCGAGACTGAGAGCTAATTACCTGTAAAAAAGCAGTATAACTCGCAAGACCAAATTTGGACAATTTAGAGCTAATGACGGTTACCGCAGATTCTTTCTCCCCCCACCTTAATGCAAGAGTCTTACAGCAAAGGAAACAATAAAAGTAAAACAGAACAGTCTGACCATGGAAATTAAAAAGCAAGCAAATAATAAAATTAAAATACTGCCTCCAAACCCTAGACTCTCCTGCACTCCATGGCGGCGGCTCAGGAGGGGGACGGTCCAACAATACTGAATCATCTTCCGCTCCTTGCCTCCGGTCCAGATCTGATCCAGCCCCTAGCCCCACACTTCGTCCATGACCTTTTGATCTCCACCATGAACGATCTTTGTCCTTCAATCTTGCTCCGTCCATTCGCCTGAGTCCCAGCCGAGACCAAGCCGCGACCGAGAACATCGTCTGTGTAACACTCTGAGTCATGGCTAGGTTTCCTAGACCCCGACAATTCCAGCTCATAATACTCATGTTTCTTCCTTGATAGAACCCTTGAACAATCGAGAGAAGAACAACCGGACACTACCGCCACCATGGACGGCGCCGGAAAAACTCCCTAGGAAAACCTAGGAGACGACCGCATTTTTTATTGCACAAAGCGAAATCAGCAAAAAGACTTAATTAACTAAAGAACAATAATAGATCCGTCGGAATTTATTAATTATTATCAATACTCTACTTCTAGAAAATTATTTAAACTTTAAATAAAAAATAAAAGGGAAAAGGTGCAAATAGACCCATGTACTAACCAAAAAAGGTCAAATAAGCCCTTATTTAGGAGGCTCTGTCCGGACGTCGTCATTTGGGGTAGTTCCCGATGGAATTTTTTGATGGAATTTTTTGAGCATCTTATTCATTAAGTCTAGTTTATTCATACCAAATTTCAGCTAAAACTTCAATCGGGAAGGCATTCAAATGAATTCTTGAAAATAATTGCGCAATTATTTTCAAGAATTCATTTGAATGTCTTCCTGATTGAAGTTTTAGCTAAAATTTGGTATGAGTAAACTAGACTTGATGAATAAGATGCTCAAAAAATTTCATGAAAAACTTCCATCGGGAACTACCCCAAATGACGACGGCCTAACAGAGCCTCCTAAATAAGAGCTTATTTGACTTTTTTTTTGTTAGTACATGAGCCTATTTGCACCTTTTCCCAAAATAAAAATTACTTGTGGAACCGAAAAATCGAACTGAACCACGAACCCCGGTTCGGTTCTTGTTCTAACCGAGGACCGGAACTTTCTCTCTTCCCAACAAGCAACCGGAGGTTTCCAGATTTTTGCAGGTTGAAGCTATCTGACTGAGGGAAAGGGCTAAAAGAAAAGTTTTTTATTTTCTCGTCAAAGGAAATGGACGCCACCGAAGCTTCTTTGTCCACTTCTCCATCTAAATCCAGTTTCAGGCACTGCGAATTCCAAAGCTATTTCATATCGCACTTACTGATTTCCATTTTTAGGGAATCCAATTATATTACGTAGTATGTTTAAATAAATTCATTATTATATTGTCACGCAGCCAACAGCGCCATTTCTATCTTGCTATTGAGAGGATCAAGTTCAAGATGGTCTTTCTCTCCCACGCCTTTCTTCTATAGGAGCTTTTGTAATTCATATGATTTTAAGATTTATTTATTTGGTTTTTTGTTGATGAATACTTGAATAGGATACAGTGGTGGATCTAATGGGAATGGCTGGCCGCCTTCCAAGTCTTCCGGTGGTGGTTTGCTGCAGCACCAGGGACGAGCTAGATGCTGTTTACTCCGCCCTATCCACCCTTTCACACATTTCTATCTTCGCACTGGTATATGTCTTTATACAAATCTTTTCGTACGACTTTATTGTTTAAGTACCTTGTGCCATAGTGCCAGGCACTGCAGTGCATTTGGTTGAATCTGCCAAGTGGTTTTCTATAGTTCAACTATAGAATCTGCTAAGAAGACTTAGAAGTTGGAGAGTTTGATTGTGAGGGAAAGTTCAACTATAAAGCTATGTACTATGAGTTAGTCCTTTACGTTGTATAAAAAACTATGAGTTAGTGTCCCAAAGGCAAAGATTGGTGTTTCTGGCTTTTGAACTAAACCACTTTTACTCCGTGGGTATGATTGGTTCAAGGGAGGGGAGGACAGGAAGAGATGGGAGGGGGAGTGTTTTTGTGTTACCTATCTGCTTTAGATGGAGGAGAGGGAAGAGGGAAATTGAGTGAAATTAAGACATTCCCAGTTTCCTCACCTCAAGAAATCCCCAAACTAGGGGGATTAGTTTGATGACTCTACTTTTGATTCATCATGTTTGTAGTTTATTCGTCACAAGTTATGCACTTTTTTGGTGGTAGGAAGTTGTGTTTAATTATGGAAATGCCACCACATCTTCTTGGATTATCTATTTTCCTTATTCCGACCCCTTAGATGTTGAGTCCAATACCTCATATTTATTCTCAATTCTCACATACTAGAATGAGAGTAACAAAGAAAGGTGTTAATTTGATCAGAAAATATGCATTGATGTTGAATTGGTTGTATTAAGTTGGGAACGAGGGCTTGTTTTTAAATTCTTTGAGTTCTTGAGTAGTTCTGACGTAGATTAGTTTATGCAGTACAGTGACCTTGCTGAAGCAGAGAGGGCACACACATTTGCTAAATTCCGGCAGGCCATGCTGAGGTGGAATCGTCATACCGTTGTTGATGAAGGGGGAGAAAAGGAGGAAGAGAAATGTCACCTGATAGTTGTAACTGATGCTTGCCTTCCTCTTGTGAACTCCGGAGAGTTTCCTTTTAATGCACGCCTCTTGATTAATAATGAGTTACCAACAAAAAAGGTAAGGAAAACAATGATAGCTGAGGTAGTTTCTTGACAGATTTTGTGTGTTAACCTATCTCCCGTTTGAAGTGGAGCCTTGACACACCGGTTACGGTGTTTCCAAGGTTCAAGTCTTGGGACTGGCCTCTTGTCAAAATGATGACAAGGATAAGCTTGCCCCTTATACACCCTTTTGGTGGGACACTTTCCTAGACCCTCTCCTTGCGGGAACACCAATGTGCACCGGGCTGCCCCTTTTTTTAACCTATGCCCCCTTTCATTTTAGTGAATTCTCCAATAGCCTTGAGTTTTTTTTTTTGGTAAGTTGCATTTCATAGCATTTAAAAGACTTCTAGCACTCTACCGCATGGTATTTCTTCATTCTTATCAGTTTTTAATTTTTCGTTGAAATTAAAATCAATTTTAGTGAAAAACAGAAAGAAACATATACTGACATACTGAAAAAAGTCTTTTTTTTGCAGGAAACATATATGCGGCGCATGGCTACTTGTTTGGCAGCAGGTGCTGTACATCTGTACAATCTCCTCATTCATTATTCCTAGTAATGTTTGAAAAGGCAGTATTGGCTGTAGTTGTTTGGGTATATAACTATATATGCTTTATTCTGTTGTCATTTGCATTTGGTGAAATTATACAGATGGAATTGTGATCAATATGGTAGCCGGAGGTGAGGTTGTAAATCTCAGAAACATTGAAGAAAGCAGTGGGTTTCTAATAGGAGAAATGCCCATAAATGTGAGTTCTTGCAATACCTTTTGGGTACACTCATCATCATCATCGTCATTACCCACTGCTTTAGTTGTGGATCTTTTTCCACTTTTGCATGAGCCGACAGCAGATCATTCAATCTTGAGGAAAAACTTTAGCTATAATAAAAGAAGGATTATTAGCTTATTTTATCCCAAACTATCATCAAATTCACAAATCTATCATATTCTTTCTTTTTTATTAAAAAAAACTCAAACTTCATCTTTTTCAACAATTATACTTTTGTTTTCTTTTTTTCAAAATTACACATTTTTATCAACACCAATAAGATATAAGCAATTCAAATTTGCAAACTTAAAATTAGAAAGAAGTGAAACTTATGAAACATAAATATGATTTTCTTCTTAAGTCTTACTAATTCATCCATTGAAAGTGTAACTGTGAGAAAAGTTGAAGTTTGAGTCTTTTTTTTATAAAAGTGAAAGTATGGGATAAATTTGTGAATATGATGATAGTTGGAGATACATTTACCTAATAATCCATAAAAGAATAATGAGGGTAACAAGGATACCAAGGCTTTAGAGGAATTAAAGCATTTAGGTTCTGAAACGGTTCCCTCTGTTCAGGCTTTGAATTGAAAATTAAAAGCTAGAAGGCTGCTGGAGCATAAAAAGCATTCTTGTTTTCTCAATTCCTAGTTTATAGATGAAAGATTGATGACAGTGGAGTGTTTTCTGTATATTATGCTGGTTCTCATTTTCTCAGTGTGCTCTTGTTTTTCCTGTTGTATCATGGTGATATATAAAAACACATCTTTGTTAATTGTTATTATTGTTGTTATGTGGATAACAAATTGGCATAAATCCGTACTTACCACATCTTAAATAGGTGAAAAATACTTTAATACATCGCCATTTTCTGACTTAACGCTCTCAATTAGAGACTGTGTTAGAGGATGCAATCATGCAATTGACGAATCTTTGAAAGTCAGAGGGCATATATGATGCTTTCCCATATTGTGGGGGGCTAAGGTATAACTTGATATGTATCCAAGTGCATGAATATAGCCAAGTTAGCTTTGGGTAAAAAACATGTAAAATATGGAATTACAAATAGAATTTACTGTGCTCATATGATCTATGCTGTAATGCAGATACTTTGGCAATGATCCTGATGTATTTTAATATTTTTATTTACGAATACAGATTTTTGAGATGCTGTGAAGGACTATAACTTTACAATGCGCAAAAAGGTAAATAGAGGTTCCAATTAGTCTGAACATCTTTGTGGTCTGGATATGCAATTCTTACCGTAATTACCACAGCTTTTGTAGTTCTCTTTGGGATTAAACCTCAAGAGCAGGTATATATAATTTATTAGAGCATTGTTTTGCGGTAAACAAATACGATAGTATCAAGCAGGAACGATGGAATACTATTTAAGTGTCTTCCCATGTTATACAAAAACCGTCTTTGATTTTTAACCAAAGTCCATCAATGACATCAATGACGTCACATGCTTTGATTTAGATGAAGATGGGTATCCTGTGTATAGAAGAAGAAATGATGGGAGAACCATTTCAAAAAATGGCGCGGAGTTGGATAACAAATATGTGGTGCCTCATAATAGATATTTATTGCTAAAATATGCAGCACACATAAATGTGGAGTGGTGCAATCAGTCTAGATCTATCAAATATTTGTTCAAATATGTGAATAAAGGAAATGATAGAATCACCGCAACATTCTATCAAAGTGCCAATGGAGATCATGAAGAGAATAATGTGGATGAAGTGAAGATGTATTATGATTGCAGATACATTTCATCATGTGAGGCTGCATGGAGGACTTTAGCATATGAGATTCAGTACAGAAGTGTTGGGGTGGAGAGATTAAGCTTTCACTTGCCTAATGAACAAGTTGTTTATTTTAACGACTTGGAGCCCATAAATGAAGTTCTTGAGAAGCCGAGTGTGAAGGAAAGTATGTTTCTTGCTTGGTTTAAAGCAAATGAGATCTATCCTGAAGCAAGAAACTTGACTTATGCCGAAATGCCAATTAAATTTGTGTGGAAGCCATCTATTAGAGAGTGGGTGCCGAGGAAGAGAAATTTTGCTATTGGAAGGCTATTTTATGTGCCGCCGGCTTGCGGTGAATTGTTCTATCTTAGATGTCTTTTGAATGTTGTTCGTGGACCAACATGTTTCGAAGATATAAAGAAGGTTGATGGTGTCCAATATGACACATTTCGTGATGCTTGCTATGCTTTAGGTCTACTAAATGATGATAAGGAATATATAGATGCAATCAAAGAAGCAAGTTTTTGGGCAACAGCATGTTGTTTGCGCAAATTGTTTGTTGCACTATTAATTGCTGATTGTTTAGGTAGACCAGAGGAGGTTTGGGAAAAGTGTTGGGTTTTTTTATCAGAAGATATCCTCCACAAACAACGTGTGATGCTTAATCATCCAGGTATACTTTTATTTTTATATTATTTCCCACATTTTGAAATTTTTATTATACAAATTTATATTATTGATTTTACTTTTTTATTATAGATCTCACGTTGTCAGATGAAGAATTAAAGAATTATGCTTTGTATGAAATTCAAAAGATGTTACGCAGTTGTGGAAGAAGTTTGGAAGAATTCCAGTGCATGCCATGTCCTGATCATAGATTTTTATCGAATAATACCAATCGATTGGTATATGATGAGTTGAAGTATGACCGCGCCAAATTGACAAAGGAGCACGAAGAGTTGCTAGGTAATCTAACTGTGGAGCAAAGAAATGTCTATGATACAATAATGAATGCGGTTGATTCAGGCAGGGGTGGAGTCTTTTTTGTATATGGATACGGTGGAACTGGAAAAACTTTCGTATGGACAACTCTTTCTGCTGCCATACGTTCTAAGGGAGAAATAGTACTGAATGTTGCGTCGAGTGGTATAGCATCGTTATTGCTACCAGGAGGTCGAACTGCACATTCTCGATTCAAAATTCCAATTCATCCTAATGAAGATTCTACGTGCAATATAAAACAAGGTAGCACTCTTGCTGAGCTTTTGGTCAAGTGTAAGCTTATAATTTGGGATGAAGCTCCAATGGTGCATAAACATTGTTTTGAAGCTTTAGATCGAAGTCTGCGTGACATTTTGCGATTTCAGAATCCAAGAAGTCTTGAATTGCCCTTTGGTGGAAAGACAGTAGTATTTGGTGGAGATTTCAGACAAATCCTTCCTGTCATTCCTAAAGGAACAAGGCAAGATATTGTCAATGCAACTATAAATTCTTCCCATTTGTGGCAACATACAAATGTCATGCGTTTGACAAAAAATTTAAGGCTTCTTCATTTGCCAGCTAATGAGCAGTCAGAATATTTGATTAAGTTTTCTGAATGGATTGCAAGCATTGGTGATGGCACTATAGGAGGACCAAATGATGGGTTTGTGGAGATTGAGATTCCAGATGAGTTTTTGTTGAAAGATTTTGATGATCCTATAATAAAAATGGTTGAAAGCATTTATCCTTCCTTTGACGCTATTCATGAAGATCCCAGTTATTTAGAAAAAAGAGCAATATTGGCACCCACTCTCCAAGTTGTTGATTCAATCAATGACTACATGCTTTCCTTAAATGGTTCTGAGATGAAAACCTACCTTAGTTCTGATAGCCCGTGTAAATCAGATTCAAATCCTGACTTTTTAACAGATATTCACACTCCAGAATTTTTGAATGGAATTAAAGCTTCAGGAGTACCAAATCACGAACTGCATCTTAAAGTTGGAACACCAGTGATGCTAATGAGGAACATTGATCATTCTCAAGGGCTGTGTAATGGGACTAGGATGGTTATTACCAGATTGGGTAAGCATATTTTGGAAGCAAAAGTTTTGACAGGATTAAGTGCAGGTGAGAAGGTTTTGATTCCAAGAATGTCTTTGACTCCATCTGATGTGAGATTGCCTTTCAAATTTGAAAGAAGACAGTTTCCTTTGATGGTCTCATATGCTATGACGATAAATAAGAGTCAAGGACAATCGTTGTCCAATGTTGGATTAGTCTTGAAAAAACCCGTTTTCAGTCATGGACAGTTATATGTTGCTCTTTCACGTGTGACTAATCCTGCGGGTTTGAAAATAGCTATATGTGACGCAGACGGGAAAAGTACCAATGTAACAACAAATGTTGTATTTAAGGAAGTATTCCGAAATTTGTAATAAATTTTGTTTTGAAATTATTATTATTACAATCATTTTTAATAACATTGTTTTGATTTAGATTGATATTATTCCATATGATACTGCACTATATTTGATGGAACTATTAGAACTTACATATTATTTTTAACTTTCAAATATTTTATTTTTATAAGTATTAATACACATGAAACACTAATAATTATGCATCAAACTTTATTTCAAATGTTTGATCTTTTATCTTGCGAAGTATATTTTTTCACGAATTAACTTCCCGTGCATCGCACGGGTAGAATACTAGTATAATTTATTAGAGCATTGTTTTGCGGTAAACAAATACGATAGTATCAAGCAGGAACGATGGAATACTATTTAAGTGTCTTCCCATGTTATACAAAAACCGTCTTTGATTTTTAACCAAAGTCCATCAATGACATCAATGACGTCACATGCTTTGTATATTATCTTTTACTTTAAGTCCATGTAAAATTTGTTCTTTTTACTTCTATGTTTTAATTTTCTGCATACGTTATTTCTCTTGCAGTTTCACTCAACTCTCCGTCAAACTCCAAGTTCTATAAAAAATTGTAGTGTAGCACAACTTTATTCTTCAATTTTTACGTCATTTTGTATTTTGAAAACATATAAGATGTTATACCAGAGTCCAGAGAATCATAGAAGCAAGAATTAAACTTGGATTTGTGAGTTTTGTTCAGTTCTACATTTCTAGCTCCATTAGTGCTTCTGATGAGCTGTACAAAAATGATATGCTAGATTGAACTCTGATAGTAGTATCAATATGTTTTTGATACGGGCTAAAAGAGTAATCAGTGTAATATGAATGAACTAAGCAAAAGTACATGGATCTAAAACAAATAATGTTATGGATGAAGAGCAAACAATGTATTTTTTAATTGAGTTATCCAGATAAGATGTTTGTGTTCAACTGTTCATTAGATGTATGACAAGTGGTGTAAAAAATGCCCCTTTTTCCGTAAAGAACTTTGAATTTTTTTGATTGGATTTCCCAGAATTAAATTTGTATTTATATAATTTTTAATGGGAGACTTTTAAGTTTTAAAGTCTCACTCTCACACAGTGCGAGTGAGACAAATGAGAGAAGTCATGGAATTTCATTCAATTCCAAAATTGCACGTTCTGTATATCACGTACTACTCTCTAGTCCCTAACTCTCTACATGAGAAAATTAAAATAAAGCAAGATGAGAAAAGATTGAACAAACATACTCAAATACATCACAATTGTTCAAAAGAAGTAAACTTATGAGAGATTTTTTTTAACAGGATTAAAACATAGAAGAAATGTAAGTCGATACCCTTAAGCGAAAAAATGACACTTTCTCGAGCTTCATGAGCTCTGTGCTCTTCCAGACTTTGACGACACAATTGCCAGAAGTGTATGGGATTAGGGCTCTCCTGCCCTCAAGCAAATCTGTCGGGGATTGCGCCCTCTGATCTAGCGAGTTCGCCACCGCCATTGCTGACGAAGCACCATTGTCCGGTGAGTACCTGCAGACTTTTAGCGAATATGTCAATTATGTCATCTTGATACGAAAATGACATAACAATGACATTTTAATGTGCAAAAAATATGGAAGTTTTAGAAGAAAAATAAGGGCATTTTGAGAATTCATACTGTGGCACTTATGTAAAAAAATGTAATTATCAGATTCCCTAAAAAATGTTAAATTTGAGAAGCAAAAAAATTTGAAAAATCAAACTTTTTTTCCAGACTTGATAGAGTTGATACTACCATATTACATATTGTTTCATAAAAATGACATCAATTGGCAAACAAATCAAAAACATTTGATAAATGGAATGTCAATAAAGTGACATTTTCCTATATGAAATTAATCGAAATCGACAGATTAATAAAGTCCAAATAAAAACGTTTTGGACGACTGCTCATTCATGTTGTTCTATTTATGACACTTTTTAAAAGTAGGTTGGGAAACATTCAATTTAGAGCCCGTTTGATAGCTCATATTTTTAGTTTATCGGTCAAATTCTTATAAAACAGGCAATTTTGATTTTACATGTTAAAATGTGTTACAAATTAAATAAGCAAGGTTAAATACTCAAAGTTACTTCTTGAGCAGATATGATTGAAATTGCCGAGGACAACAATTTTAGCTATTTTGCACATATTTTTTTCCTTTAATTATTAACAAACACATTTTAAATATTTATTTTCCATAATTCAGTAAATTCAATCAATTCAGCCAAAATTTCACCAAGCTCAATGGATTCAGCAGGTTTAAAGCCCGTTTAGACGATTTAGGAATCCCGCTTTTCAGCTTATCAGTCAACATTTTCACCAAACATATAACTTTTGATTTCGCGCACCAAATTGTGTGATAAACAAAATAAATAAGATTGGAGTTACTTATCTGATTAAACTTACTTTAGATGATCATTTTAGATGATTTCCATATAATACTTTACTTTATTTTAATACTAGTAATAAAATATATTTAAAATCTAATTTTCATTTAAGTCAACATATTTAATCATTTCCACTAGAATTTCATCGATTTCAACCTTTTAACCAATCTCAGAAAATGGGCTCTTAAACGACTTTCATAGATTCTATTTTTTTTTTCAAAAAAAAATGGACAATAGTGCATTTTAGTCCTAGTTCTCCATTTGTAAGTGGAGATAGTCCCGTCATTTTCCTTTATTGGACTCTAATAACCCATTAAAATGTCTGAAGGAAAATTCTTAAGGCACACCTTGGGTTACACCCCGGGGTACACCCCATTTATTTTATCTTCACACAGACAAAAAACGTAAAAACACAGACACTTTCGATTAAAATGTCGGTGTGAGTTTGCAGATCTGTCAGGCTGGTTGCACACAAACCAATGTCGGTATGCACATACACTAGTTGTCTGTGTAGAAAAAAGTGTCTGTACATATACAATTTTCGTCGGTTTTCTTTCCTTCTCTCTTTTTACGTTTTATGCACACCGACACTGATTTGCTTTCAGTGTCTGTGTACACCGACGAAAATTGTATATGCACAGACATTTTTGTTTCTACACCGACGAAAATTGCATATGTACATAAACTTTTTTCTACACCGACAACTGATGCCTGTGTATACCGACACTGGTTTCCCAACCCCTTGAAATTGCAAACCAATTTTGTTCGCACTGACACTTTTTTTGTCTACACAGAGGACTAGTTTCTGTGCATACCGACATTGGTTTGCGTGCAACTAGCCTGACAGATCCGCAAACTCACACTGACAGTTTAATTGAAAGTGTTTGTGTTTTCATGTTTTTTGTCTGTGTGAAGGGCAAATAAATGGGGTGTACCCCAAGATGTAACCCAGGGTGTACACCAAGAAGGATTCAATGTCTGAAACACCACAGTAGTTGCACTCTTCTAAACAAGATCTTAGGACTTGGGAAGAAGGGCAGTAGGTAGATATATGATGCAAATTCACTTTATAGAAAGGTGATGAACCTATGGGCTTCAACAGAAATAGAAAAAGAGGAATGTGGGAAGTCATGTGCGCGGTTTGGTTAAGACTTTATGGCTTCCACCTTTTCATCTCCATCTCTTTCTTAGCTTTCTTTGTGTTAAATAATACTCCGTAGGGAGTACATAATTTATCAACAGCGAATTGTGTTGTATGATGGGGACAACACGCTGAAAGACAGCAACCCTTCCTTCCCTTTCAATGCTACCTCCAATGGGAGGAGCCACCACCAGACCAGCCGCCATCCACCACACCCTAAGACCATTTGTAGTGGTTAGGAGGCTAAAAAGTTAAAAATGAATTCTGTCCATATGAAAACAGTGTTTAGACTCCTATTCCTTATATCCCAGCACCGTCAATAAAATACATTCAGCAAATTTTTTCACATATCAATTTAGTAAAACATTAGTTAAATCATCATAAGTAATATTTTCAATTTACTTTTTTCCCTAAATAATTATGAAATAAAAAATACATATTTCGATGTAAAAATAAATAAATTTCATTAATTTTTTTTACGTTTTTCGGTTAACAAAAAATGAATTTAGTCCAAGTAAAGTTTTATTATGGTATATTCAGTTATGTGTAGAGACTTCATGAATTAAAAATTTGTGTCTTGTGTTTTTTCAGACTCAAGAAAATTCCAATAGTTAAAACATAAGATTTTTTTTCATTTTATATATTACATGTTGGTGTCATATGAAAGCTAATAAAAATTTGGGAGAACAAATAAAAAAAGTAATAAGAGTTTTAAAAAATTTGGGATTAGAATGATTAGGGATGACATCATCCTCACATTCATACAATGCATTCTTGGTCATTTTCTTTCCTATTTCTTTTCTTTTTCTTTTTTCCACTCCTACCAACCCACCCTCTATTTCTAACACCCTCCATCTCCTCTTCCATTTTTAATACTTTATTTAGCCTACCACTACATGAAATTAGCAGTCCAAAAGTTCCATCTTTAACATTTTGGACTCCTAATACTACACCACTCCAAACAGGGGCGGAGCTAGAGGGGTGGCCAACCGGGCCACGGCCCGCCCCAAATTTGAAAATTCTTTGTATTTTTAGTCTAAAAATTTATGTCAAAAGAAATTATCTGAAAAATTCTTTGTACCGGCTCAGCCCAACCTTCAATCCTAGCTACGCCCCTGACTCCAAATGGCCTAATAGGCTAATACTTTTCCAGAAAACATATGAACTACTCTGTATTGTCAATTTACACGTTCCACACAGTTAATTGAGGGTATGTAAATTGAATTTTAATTAATCACGTAGACTATGGCCTACGATTTGGAAAAGCTATGTGCATTTTTTATAGTAATCTCTCATCGCATTTGCCAATAATCGAACATGAAATTGGTTGGACTGTTTATATTGCGACAGGTATAATTGTTGCAAATCTAGTTCTCAACCGAATATTACTGGCAACAAACAAAGTACAACACTGGCAATAAGAAGTAAGAAGCAAGAGGTGACTGGATTTTACCGTAACGCAAAAAATGGAAACGGACAGTGAAGACGATTGTCCTGTAATCTTGGCTTTGGGTCAT